AGAAAAAATTTTTATGAAAATCTTTTAATGTATGACCACTGTACAGAAGACTGTACAGTGGTCAGAATATTTACACTGTGCGCATAGAGTTATTATTATTATTTTCCTAATCCCTGACTGATCATTTTTAATCTAGGGTGTATTATAGTATAGATTAAATTCATCATCCAGCTGCTGCTCTGCAAAATTCTCTCCCCAAGAGCTGAATCACGTCATCTAGCGGAAAATCAGGTGGCTTTTTCAAATCACGCGAGAATGTGTACAAAACAACAAAAATGGCGCCGGCAACGGTTGTGGGTCGTTTTCAGCGAATGTCGGTGATTTTAAAGTAATTTTGAGTGATAAATGATTTTTTTTACGATCATTGCACTTGCCCGGCGGGCAAATGCAACGAAATTTGTACTCTCCCGACAATAAAAACTACTTGCCCCGGGCGATGGTTAACATCGAGCCCTGTATATATATATATACTATTGTTTTCTCACCCCTCGTGGGGTGGTATGTGTCATCCTCAAGCTTGGGTCCTCTACCAGAGGCCTGGGAGTTTGAGGGTTCTGCGCAGTATCTTAGTTGTTCCTAGGACTGCGCTCTTCTGGACAGAGACCTCTGATGTTTTACCTGGAATCTGCTGTAGCCACTCTCCCAGTTTGGGAGTTACAGCCCCCAGTGCTCCAAATAGTTTAGTATTTGAAGTCCCATAGGAGCTCGGTCATTCTCAACTACCTTAGGAGGTGTCTTCCATTTTGACCTTGGGACTTCCAGCCCATACTCATGGCAGATGTTCCTGTACACTATGACAGCTACCTGGTTGTGGCGTTCCATGTATGCACTTCCTTCCTGCATTTTACACCCTGCTGTTATGTGCTGTATTGTTTCAGAGGCATCTTTGCACAGTCTGCATCAGGGGTCCTGCCTGGTGTGGTAGACCCTGCCCTCTATTGATCTTGTACTGAGTACCTGTTCTTATGCTGCCATATATATAGGCTATATATATATATATGGCTCTTCTCTGTCCCCTACAACAGAGCATTTTTAGACTAAGGTCTCTCATCTTTCTCTAGGTATGTGTTGGAGCTCCTTTCTCAACGTGGAGTTTTCACCTTCCAGGCTCTCTACTTCCCTGAGCCTCCTGGTGTTTCTACAATTTTGCATGCTCTATTTTCCTGGTGTCACATAAGTGGAGATGGGCACATTGATCACTAACGCTCTCCTCTGCTGCTTGGTGGTGAGTAGCTTGTGTTTTTTAAAATCTGTGACATGAATCTCTTCCTTAGGCAAACTTATTATCCACTGAGCTGACTTCAGTGAACATGGCTTACCAGTTACAGGTGTTTGACTTCTGCTGCTTTCTTTGTGAAGTCTTTATGGATGCTCTGTGGTATTCCATGGTACTTCTAGCTCTCCTCTACATCTGCAATTCTCTCTTCAGATCCCCTCACAGTACAGTTCTTCTGCTTGCAATTTCATTGTTAAGGAATAAAAAAGGTCTTAAATTTTTAAGTAAAAAAGTCAAGGTACAGCTTTTATGTTTCTAATGTAATTAAATGAAAAATGAAAAAATACTCACCAGTACACAATCTCAAAATAAATCAGTTAATTACTGTAGGGAAACAAATTAGTTTCTTTACACCTTTGATATTCACACATGTAACGGCTAAAATCCTATATTTTAGGCTACTGGTGGTTTCTGTTGGAAGGCACTGGTTTCACGTGCGCTCAATTAAG